AAGTCTGATTGGTTTGAAAATAAAGACTGAAGATGATTTATTTTCATGTTTTATCACCAGAATAAAAAGTTCAATATTTCATTTCTGGACTTTTTTGACGTTATTGATCAGATCTGCTCAGATGCGGCCCGTCAGTGAACCTGCTGTAGGATGAAGCAGAAACCGAACCCACCGTGTCCCCACCTGCCAAACCCGAGGACGACTCGGACTGAGAGAGCGGCGTGGGCCTGACGCTACGACTCGTGACAGATTCAACACTGAGTGAGGAGAAGCCATCAACGAGCACCAGAAGTTACTTAATTGGGATCAGATTAGAGTTATATTGGGCAGGTGTGCATCACTCTACATGTGACCTGATGAGGTCAGTGAGCGGCAGCTGTGAGTGGCAGATGGAGGCGGAGCTTTGTGGAGAAGCAGGTTTCTTTGAATGGGGAGCAGACTGAGGATCAGCACGTTCATTCAGGAGCACAGAGCTCCTTAAATGTGTCAGGGTCAGGTGCTCCACAGCAGGTGCTCTACAGCATGTGCTCTACAGCAGGTGCTCCACAGCAGGTGCTTGCATGAATGGACAGAGACAGATGGCTTCACCCGACTCAGAGCTTTAAATTAGAGAGCAGGTGACAGGTTTGGGGTTTAATTATGGGATGAGTTCTTCTTTCGGCATCAATCAGCTGACTGCAGTTTCTCCTTAAAGCTGAATGAGTCCAGAATCAGATCCACCAGGCTGGAAGCTCTTTTCCTGCATTTAAAACAGCTCCAGCAGAGGGCGCTGCAACAAGCGTTTCATGTCTGTTTGTGGAGCTGCAGAGGCCTTCGCTCAGGCTCGGTGCCCGGGTCACAGACAGGAACAAATAAAATATGACAATGAAGTCGAGGGACTCAGCAGAGAGGACAACTAGCCCTGTTTGGGGTGGGCTGGTCCCTGTGGTCAAATCAGTGTTTTAAAGTGAAAAAAGTTTCAGCCAAATATCTTTTATATTATTTCACTCCAGACACACACATCAGCTTTGGATGACACTCAAGAGCTTCAAGCGTCACAGCTTCACTCAGGAGCCACGTTTAAGGCCTCCTGGCCCTTACTTTGATTTTAAAACTCTCTCGGACAAAACCTGCAGGTGTGAAAGCAGCAGCTGACTGACGGACGCTGTGCAGGAA